TTTTTTAATATCGCGCACAGGGCGCACTTCCCTCAGCGTGCGCACCGCGCACAGCGGACCGCACGGCACACGCTGCCATTCCAGCACACAGCGCAGTGCGCACTGCCCTGCCCGCACTGCGCACTGGTGCGCCGCAACTATGTTAACTGATCAGAACAAATGCCACACTTGATCTTAGCCAAAAGGCCGAGAAAGGTATATCCCAACCATCGAATTACAATGTGAGCCTCTGCTTTTTTTTCCCCACTCGCCTTTTTTCTCTCCAAACAGTAGTTTGCTCTGCGTCACTCTCCGTATCAAGTGCGTGTTTTTTCAACTCTGACATTCCTTGGCATTAGTTCTGCAATTGCCACTCCGCAACTGGCTGACTAGGCCAACAGCTGTGACATCAACAACATAGGTGTGCTGATGGATGTAAGATTGTGGTTATAGTGAATACACAAGCAAATATATACCTTTCTCGGCCTTTTGGCTAAGATCAAGCGTAGTATTTGTTCTGATCAGTTTAATATCTGATCCGTGGTCCATCGGGCCACACGATATTATGAATACACAAGCAAAGACCGAAGTCACCGCGGCTAAACTCCCACTTGCAAAACACACAGAATCACAGAATCGGTACAAAATGTACGTTGCATTGCATGTCCCGGTGGGTGATGGCTACCCCGACCGGTCAACAACATAGTCACCAATATGAAATGATGAAGGATAAGGACGAAGATTGTTATGGTCCTGCTCAGATCTCTGCAAGCAGACTCGCTTCGTTTCCACCTCGCATACATGCAAACAGATAGAGATTCACACTGACGCTCAGGCGCCCACTCAAAGCTCAAAGATATGGACACCGCGAACACAGTTCAGATGCAATCTCGTTTCAACAGGCTATGGCGCATAAGCGCCGATACATCCCAAGTCACGACTCTGTATCCAACGCCACTGTTTGCACACACTTCAACTCTGGATCTCCCTGAATACCCCACACGCACTCGCTGTAACACACGCATACAC